GGACTCACGGCAGCCCAGCTCCAGGTCGAGCTGTTGTTCAGCATCTTAGCTGTAGAGGGCAGTGTCACTGGCCCTCATATGTAGGATCCGAACCGAGGCCCTCTGGCGTCCCAAGCCACCTCTTAACCAACGCGCCACTCGGCCGGCCCTAATACCCAATTTTCACCACTTGCTCACATCAGTTCTTTGAAATGTTATTCCCCATGGACCATGACATGTATTTTTTATAATAGACATGAACGCTGAAAGATGTAGACATCACACAAATTAATTCAATGGTTGTTTTAAAAGTGGAAAACAATAAAAATTCAGTTGCCAGGCTGGCCGAGTGGTGTGTTGGTTAAGAGCCGGCTTGGAACACCAGCTCTGAGCAGCAGGGCCCCGGTTTGGATCCCACATGAGGGCCAGTGACACTGCCCTCTACAGCTAAGATGCTGAACAGCAGCTCAACCTGGAGCTGGGCTGCTGTGAGGTGCCTGCGACGGCGTGGGCTGCAGTGGGGCTGGCCAGCAGCTGCCGTGAGTCTCTGTGAGCGACTGCCTCTTCTGGGAAGAGCGCAATGATAATACCGATGTCCTCCACAACTAGACTGAAGAACAAAAGGACAGCAACTTGTCTGTTCCCCTTCCCCGATTCCCCAGCGCTGTTCCCCTCCCCCAATTCCCCAATAAAATCTTATATATATATAAAAAAATCCAGTTGCCAAACTAAAGGATTTTATACATCATAAAGTGCTCTTTATTATTTCCATGGTCTAAAATTTCTCATTCAAGAAAACAGATTCATTTCTAAATATTACATCTTTCTTGGCTGGAAAAAGAAGAAAATTTTCTTTGACAAAACTGTCCCAGGGAAACAAAACAAATGCTTTTCCAAATTAGAGCACAAGTCTTCCTTAATTGTCAGTGTGTGATAACTAAGATATGGTAGAAGTCTTTGAAATTTCATAAAAGCTATTGTTAAGATGGTGGTTTTGGCCGTTTTGCAGATGGTCCTTCTGAGTTAGTTCTGTTTTCAGTGTTATTTTCATCTTCTGCATCATCTTCATCACCTTTTAAAATAAATATTTGTTGTATGACAATGTGTTCAATGGTTGAAAAAAATATAGTTAAAACGGTTGACAATGAGATCATTTCACTTTAGGACTAATAAGACCATATTCCAGATTTGAAATATGCATTGTTAAAAATATTTCAGTAATTTTAGTGTTTAAAACCTTCCCTTTCTATCACTTTTTTGAAGATATAATTCATACGTCCATAAAATTCACTCTTTTAAAGCATACAGCTTATTGAATTTTAGTATATCCACAAGGTCCCTGCTGCTATGAACATTAATGTATAAGCTTTTGTGTGAACATATGTTTCCAACTCTCTAGGAAGAACTAGGAGTTTCTAGGCATGGAATTGCTGGGTCAGATGGTAACTTTATGTTCAGCTTTTTGACGAACTGCCAAGCTCTTCTCCAAAGAAGGTATGTTATTTTACATTTTCACCAGCAATGTACGAGGGCTCCATTTCTTCACATCCTCGCCAACGCTTGTTAATGTTCTTTTTGATTACAGGCAGGTAGTGGTATCTCATTGTGGTTTTGATTTGCGTTTCCCCAATGGCCAGTGATGTTGAACATCTTTTCATGTGCTTTATTGGCCCTGCATATTTTACTTGGAGACCTATCTATTCAAATTGTTTGTACATTTGGTAATTAGATTACTTACATTTTTAGTGTTGAGTTCTACCACTTTTCTTTAGTACTTATAATTTTTTATTTTGTATATTACTAGTTGAGATATAATTCATATAACATAAAATTCACCATTTTATCTCTACCACTTTTAACAAAAGTAATTCAAACCTAAACTTTATGGTGATTTCATTAAGCAAATACAAAAACATGTCCACCTATACAAAGACATTACTGACCCACCATTAATAGCACAGGGGGCAGTGATTTTTCCAGTAAGTAATGACAGGTTTTTCTTAAAATGGCTCTATCTATACTCTTGTTTTTATGCCAATGATAACATTTTCAACAGATGAGAGAGGCACTTTTGGAGCCAAGGAACAGGACTTCACTTTCAATATATGTAACAACATCCAATTACCTTATTCATGGAAGCAATCTATTGTCTGAACTCAGTGTAATGTTACGAATTGGCTCCTTCACATTATCTGGAACTATCAAGATATAAACAAGATAGAAAAGAAAAAAAAGGAAAGTATGGTTTAAGCTCCTCCACGGAGGAGTCAAGTCCTAACTCCAATGTTTAGTTCTTAGGTTCTTCAGCTCAGGGCAGTCAAAATGTACCTATCTATTTTTGCATTCAAGACAAGATTTAAAAAATACCAACGCATTTAAACTTCACGTTTCTACTTTCAAACTGCACCTACAAAACTGGGATATGGGAAAGCAGTGCCTTGGGAGTTAAGACTTGTTAAACTGACATCTGCCCCAATCTTCAGAACCTGCTCCGATTCTGCGCTAGATGGCAGTCTTCCACACATATTTGTAAGTTCACACCCGGTAAAACTTTTCATCCTTCAACATCATGCCCTCTCTGAAGCCATCCTGGGTTCTCTCGGTTTACTATTCGGGTCACACTTCCACTCTTCAATAAGAGTGTTTGCCTGTCTAACCCCGCACCAGTCTGAATCCACAAGGAGAGTAACTGACTCGCATTCACCTCATTCTTTCTCCAGAGCTCAGCCCAGTGCCTGGCACAGAGTAGTTAGCCTTCAGCACGTTTTTGTAATATAAATGAAAAGAGACAGAGTCATGAAAACGCCTGGGTAGAAGCAGCCCAGATAAATCAGCCCAGATTCAGCTCAGATATGGTGGAAGATACCAATAATTTTTAGGTGTTATTCTTTGTCCCCAGAGGCCCACTTTCTTCAAGTCTGCTACTCTACACGGGCTCTCCAAAGAGATGTTCCCTGGACTCCCCTACCTTCTCCCCACCATTGCAACCGCACCGTCTCAGAACTCACCGTCCAAGGCCTCGTCGGGAGCCGCCGCCACCA